AGTTCCCTATCAACTCCTCAATGACTCTGAAAAGAATGTTTGTGACAAGCTAAAGAAGCAAAACGTATGTTTTTGTCCTATCCATTCCGGACGGTAAACATCCCTGGTTCACAAGTTGTTTTTCAGTGACAGCTTTATTGAGGTATACTTCACATATCACGAAATGCACTCTAAGGTATACAATTCATTTCTAGTATATCACAGAATTATGCAAACATTACCACTATCTAATTTTAGAACATTCTGGCACCCAAAAAAGAAATCCCATCCATATTACCAGACACTTCTCACTCCCCTAGCCCATGGCAACCACTGCTTTACTTTGTATCTGTAGATTGGTTTATGCTGGATATTTCATATAAATGGAATCATACAATGTGTGACCTTTTGTGATAAGCTTCTTTCATTTAGGATAACATTTCCCAAGTTTATCCATGTTGTAGCATCAATCAGTACTTAATTCTTTCATATGGTTGAATAACATTTGATCTTTTTGATATACTATATTTGTTCATTCATTAGCTGATGGGTATTTGGGTGTTTTCATAGGATTTTTCATGTGTTAAAACCCTAATCATCCCATACGCTGACTTTATGGATAAAGAAATTCAGGCCTAGTGAGAAAATGAGAGCCACCTCTGGCTACACAGACTTAAGACTCACACACCTAAAATGCCAAATAAGAGAATCCCTAATGTGTGTGAGTCCAACAGTAAAATGCGAGATAGGCTAGGAGAGGAGCTGGTGAAAGCAGGAGAAAACAGATATCCCTAAAAATCTCATTCAGCCAAAGAATTGAAGATCAACTGTTTTAAACCCTCGAAAACATACAGAAAAAAAGAGAAATGAGCACAATGCAGAAATAAAAACTTAACAAAGAAAATCAAAGAAGGAAAGAAACACGGAAAATCTGGCAAAACCTCCCACCTAAAAGCCAAGGAAGCACTTGGCCTGCTGCTTGACTAGAAGGCATAAAATATTAATCCAGTAAAAGAAACATCAGTTTCCGACCCCTGACTATTTTCAGAATGACAGTTTATTTATAAATCCCCTAATGTGTATGGGTAATTTTTAGATTCAAAGCAACAAAAAGGAACATTAAAGCCTTCTTCCTATCAACTCCACAGGAGTTCTATCTACCACTTTCTTTTTCCTCAACAATAACAAAAAGAGAGCCTGACACTAACAAAATGACTAACAAACAGTAAATGCTCAACCAGCATTTGATTAATGAAGTTGAAGACAAAACAGATCTTTTTTTATGATTTACTTATTTGAAAGGCAGAGAGTCAGAGAGAGACAGAGAGAGAAGGATATTCCATCTGCTGGTTCACTTCCCAAACGGCCGCAACAGCATGAACTGGGCTAGGCCAAAGTCAGGAGCCAGGAACTCTATCTGGATCTCCCACATCAGTGACAGCGGCCCAAACATTTGGGCCATCACCTACTGCCTTCCCAGGTACATTAGCAGTGGATTAGAAACAAGCAGATGAGACTTGAAATGGCACTCTCTGATAACAGATGCCAGCATTCCAGTGGTAACTTAACCCACTGTGCCACAACAACGACCCCTAACAACAGATCTTTAAAAAAGCGTACCTCTGGCCGTGCCATGGCTCACTTGGCAAATCCTCTGCCTGCAGCGCCGGCACCCCAGGTTCTAGTCCCAGTTGGGGCACCAGGTACTAGTCCTGGTTGCTCCTCTTCCAGTCCAACTCTCTGCTGTGGCCCAGGAAGGCAGTGAAGGATGGCCCAAGTGCTTGGGTCCCTGCACCCGCATGGGAGACCGGGAGGAAGTACCCAGCTCCTGGCTTCAGAACGGCGTAGCGCCGGCCGTAGTGGGCACTAGGGTAGAGAACCAATGGAAGGAAGACTTATCTCTCTGTCTCTCTCTCTCTCTCACTGTCTAACTCTGCCTGGCCAAAAAAAAAAGCATACCTCTTCCAAAAAGGTACTTAACTTAGTCTTTATCTTACTAGTAACATAAATCTAAGTCCTTATATCCAAATCTACAGCTCTGTCAAAAAACAGCAAGATTAGAAAGGTGAAAGGCAATAGAACCTAACAAGGAAAGTTAAAAGAAAGTCAAGAAAGCAACATTTATGGCAAGAAAGTGCTCAAAAAAATGATGAGGATGAGGATATACCAAAATCACCTGACAGATCTTCCAATGACAAAACCTGGAACAACTGAGGGAGAAAATAAATGATAAAACAGGTGCTCCTTGATTTATTGATGGGATTACATCCCCTTAAGCCCATCGTAAAACAAAATATCATTAAGTCGAAAAGACATTTAATCCACCGAAGCCACCGCGCAGCACACCTCAGCAACACTCACAGGATGTCGCTTCCTCACGATCCCACAACTGACCAGGGCCTGGGGTGCACCGCTGCCAGCCAGTAGCACAAGAGTAGCTACCATAGATCACTGGCCAGCAGAGGGGCCGAATTCAAAACTGAAGCAGTTCCTACGGAATGACTTATTACTTCTGCATCTTCGTGAAGTCAAAAAGTCATCAAGGCAAACCAGGATAAATCAAAGACTCCCTTGAATTATAACCCATAGAATAAAATAAATACCTAAAATTTCATAATGACAAATAATTGAATAAAAAATAATTGGAGGAGAAGAGACAGCGCTTTGTTGTAGTAGGATTCAAATTAATAAATGTGGGAGGAATGAGGGAAATAGATATAGAAATAGAAATAGAAAACAAGCCAGTGAATGAAAACCATACTTGCTAAAACCCACATGGGGCCGGCGCCGCGGCTCACTAGGCTAATCCTCCGCCTAGCGGCGCCGGCACACTGGGTTCTAGTCCCGGTTGGGGCGCCGGATTCTGTCCCGGTTGCTCCTCTTCCAGGCCAGCCCTCTGCTGTGGCCAGGGAGTGCAGTGGAGGATGGCCCAGGTGCTTGGGCCCTGCACCCCATGGGAGACCAGGAAAAGCACCTGGCTCCTGGCTCCTGCCATCGGATCAGCACGGTGTGCCGGCCGCAGCACGCCGGCCGCGGCGGCCATTGGAGGGTGAACCAACGGCAAAGGAAAAGGAAGACCTTTCTCTCTGTCTCTCTCTCTCACTGTCCACTCTGCCTGTCAAAAAAAAAAAAAAAAAAAAAAAAAAAACCCACATGGTGTAATAGATATTACACAAGTACCAGAATAATAACTATTGTAGGCAAGAACCATCAGTGAATGCTGAAGATGGTGGACAAAAGTATGATGAGAAGCAGGATCTCTGAGCATCATTCTGTAAGAGTCTCACAAATCGCAAAGGGAAAGTCAGTTCACTTTACAGTGGAGAAATTCAGTAGACAAAATCTTAATAAGGTGATCAAAGCTACTCCTTGATCTGATGCATTGAGAATGGTACTACACATCATGGTGTTCTGAGGGAAAAATGCACTTTTCACACAAATGAAAAGAAAATACAAGCACAAGAAGAATTCAGAAAGTCTGTGGGAAATGGAATTAAATGATGAGTTTGTTTTTCCATTAACTTTCAGAAGTACTGTCATATTAAGCCAAGTCAGAGCACCATTTTATACAATAATCAGCCAGTGCTCTTTAAAACTGTCAAGGTCATGAAATACAAAAACTGAGGAACTGCCAGACTGGGGAGACTAAGGACACTTGACTACTAAACACAGTTTGTATTCCAGATTGGCTCCAAGATCAAAAAACAAACATGAATGGGAAAACTGGCACTATTCACATCAGACCTATAGAACAATTAACAATATTTTAAGTGTTAATTTCCTGTAGTTTTTTTTTTTTAGATTTATTTATTTATTTGAAAGGTAGAGTTACAGAGAAGCAGAGGCAGAAAAAGAGAGAGAGAGAGAGAAATTCTTCCATTCACTGGTTCACTCCCCAAATGGCCACAAGAGCCAGAGCTAGGCCAATCTGAAACCAGGAACCTGGAACTTCTTCTGAGTCTCTCACATGGGTGCAGGGGCCCAAGGGCTTGGGCCACCTTCCACTGCCTTCCCAGGCCATAGCAGAGAGCTGGACTGGAAGTGGAGCAGCCAGGACTTGAACTGGTGCCTATATGGGATGCCAGCACTGCAGGCAGCAGCTTTATCCACTACACCATAGCACCAGTCCCTCCTGTAGTATTTTTGTAACTTTTCGGTAAGTCTAAATTTATTTTGAAATAAAATGTTGGGTTTTTTTTTAATATAACATTTCTAGGTGTGACATCTTGCTGTTTCAACCCCATTAAGAGGAATGATTCATGTTGGCTCTATTATAATTTCTGTATTAAAAGATCATCAAATGATGTTAAATTCAGAATCACCAAATTCAATTTTTAAAGTGTATGCTAGAGGCCGGTGCTATGGCACAGTGGGTTAACGCCCTGGCCTGAAGCACCAGCATCCCATATGGGCACCAGTTCAAGACCCAGCTGCTCCATTTCTGATCAAGCTCTCTGCTGTGGCCTAGGAAAGCAGTAGAAGATGGTCTAAGTCCTTGGGACCCTGCACCCGCGTGGGAGACCCGGAAGAAGCTCCTGGATTCAGATTGGCGCAGCTCCAGCCGTTGTGGCCAATTGGGGAGTGAACCAGCAGATGGAAGACCTCTCTCTCTCTCTCTCTCTCTGCCTCTCCTCTCTCTGTGTAACTCTTTCAAGTAAACAAATAAATCTTTTTAAAAAATAAATAAGTAAGTGTATGCTGGACAGCAAACATAAGAAAACAAGCCAGTGAATGAACACCATACTTGCTAAAACCTACATGGTGCACTGTTCACAAAGAGATAAGCCAGAAAAAAGACATGAACATTCTGACCATAAAGCAAGGACCCACAACACAAATAAAATAACTTGAACATAAAATGTGAAGAATTAAACAAAACCAAGTTAACCAACACGTGACGACATCATGACTTCACAAATTTCTGTGGTATTCAACTTTTATGAGTCTGGTTAGAACGGTTTATTATTAGGGAAAGGCTGAACTGGTTCTGGTAAATTCACTGAATTAGTTCTGATACATACCCAGATTTCAAGTCAGTTATCCTCAAACAGTTTGTAGCATCCAGTCCCACTTTCCCATTCCGGACCACGCTGGATATGAATGGAGACAGCATTGGAGAAATTCGGTTCAAGGCCACTTCCGGGGACATTGTAACTTGATTTGTCAATCACCACTAAAAACAAAGGGAGGAAAATGGTGATCAGAGCTCACAAGCTTCCTGAAGACGGCACAGCACTCAGAATTTTCTCCAGCATGAATAAATGTTACTTCCTTTCCAGAGCAAACTACCTCAGTGATCTTCCAAAAGAATTCATCTCTGCGCTGCTCAGCTTCTCGGGACATGGATGCACCACTGACTTTCAAGAACAAAACACACACCCTCCTCCTCTCCGATGCTGATTTCTTTACTGTCACCCTCTACTTACAGCCATTCCACTGCATCCTACAACTGGCTTACTCTACCTTAGTCAAGGTTAAGAAGCCTTTGCCAACAACCCTCTTCGATAACACACAAAACACACACACACTGGGAATCCTCTGTGTCCCCACAAGGAGTAAGAACTTGATTGACAATACCATCTGAAGCTCTAGCACAAGCCTAACTTGCTTGTTACTGCTGCCTACTAGGAATTACTAATGGCCGACAGACCTCTCTTGCTATCTGCCCTTTCACAGTGTAGGTAACTACCTGCTTATGGGCTCTCTCTCCTGAAGGAATCTCTAGTATTTAACAAAAGTCAAGGCACTCACTAAACATTCAACAAACTTCTTGAAATAAGTAGATGAATAAAGGGACAAAAGCTAGAGAAATACTTAAGTACAGAGGAAAGATAATATGCCCTCAAATAATTTGGCAAGGGAACAGATATAGAACAACTGAGAAACAGATGTAGCAAATTCTACTTAATTGACAAAAACACACAACCACCCAGATATTAAGCAACACAGATTAACATTGATCTTAAAGTCTCTGACTTGAAGGCACCAAGAAATCCTCACACATGAAAATACAGAAGTAAAACCAATAAATCATATCTAAACTGCGTGGAAATCCAGGGGGCTGAGAAAGGAGTACATGAATTCCTCTGAACAGATTTCTAAATGAAAGCCTCTACTTTCAGAGGTGAATAAGTCAATTCAAATGAATATTTTCTTCCTCAATCTGAAAGGATAATCCCACATCAAAAGCAAATTAATTTCCAGCAAGTTACAATTATAAGTAACTGATGTTCTGGTTCTAACTTGCATATATTAAACCACACGAGAACTTACAAGTTCCTGCAAAAAACAAATGTCAAAAACTAGATTCTGTTTGAATTCATGTTTTCAGATAATAACAAAAGACTGCAGTCATCACTCAAAAAGGAGTAAAATTGCGACCCAATCAGTGATGACCCCAGAAATACCTTTGAGGCAGAAAAACCTTTATACTTCACACCTTAGTTCCAAATCAGCCCTTCTGCAAATAGAAAACAAGCTCATCTTCTGATCCTTCTGATCCTTTAACATATAATTTCTCACCACCATTCTACAGTGTCATCTCAAAGAGTAAACATCTAATGCACTCTGCCATCCATCATCAAATTCATATACATATCTGTGACACTATCACGTACAAAGAGCTTCCATACACATCACTGCAGTTGATACTCACAACGTGGGTTTAAGGCAAGTGTTTTAATTCTCATTTTGCTGATCATATGGGTAACTGCTATAATCTGTCTTGGAACAGTATACTAATCCATGTTGTCATTTTGAAGCCCATTTTTTTTCTATTCTGCAACATTTCCACCTTTATGTCTATGTACTGATGTCACAGTTCTTGAAGTGATGCTTATCTAAACCACATGCAACACAAAAATAATTCATCTTGGAAAAAAAAAAAGATTTCATCTACATTACAAAATCAGCCTCCTGGTTTTTTTACCCCATCACCTATTTTCTGACCTCTCATTTCTACAAAAAGGGAAACAGGCCCAACACATTCTAAACATCTACTCAGTATCAGCACTTTATTTATTACTCAGCTCTCTTGTCATTTCATTTACTTCCTCTCTCCACCCCCAACAACCCCTTTCCCTAGCTAATATTAACATTACAAATATATATATGATATGTAGTAAAATGTAAACAGACAAAAAAGTATGAATCCAAACAAATGAGGGCTTTACAACTAGACACAACCTAGACTACTGTTGGCCTACTGCTGTGATGCGCCCCTTAAACGCTGAAGAGAACAGACTCGTCCCAGAAACCAACCCATGCTACAGGGACAACAACCCATTCGATCCAGCAACTGCCGTAACTTTGGGGCCACACCTGGGAGAATGAATTTGTCTATTTCCAGAACGGCCATCGTACTACTTTTTGGCAGTGCAAGATTTCATGCAGCATTAAAATGTTTCAACTACGAGGAAATAGGCCTTCTTTCAGAAAGACTTTGTTAAAACTACACTGACTCCAAAATCGGAGGTCGCCGAAAAGCCAAAATATGATGGTCTTTTGTTGCGCTGAGCCGGGGACATGCGGATGAGGGGAGGGTCACCCTTAATTTTTTTAAATGGCAGCACTACACTAGATGCCAGACTGGCAAAAATATTCGGGGCCAGGCTCCCTGGAACGCTAGTTCTCCGGTTTTTATTTCCTGACTGTGAGGGGCTGCTGAAGGAAAACGAAAAAATGCAATTTTTTACAAGTGTCTGCTGCCCCAAAGATCACATAAGGTCACCTGATGGGCGGCTCGGGGAATACAAAGACGTCTAAAGCCCAGTCCAGGTTCTCGCAATTAAGAATGGGATGACAAACACGGAAACATGTGCCCCGCTGACGTCATGGAACGGAAAGGGGTGGCGTCCTGCTGCGTCACGTCAACGACATACGGCGCACGCGGGAAGTTACACGGGGGAAGCGATTTTTCCAGGGGGCAACACTCAGGGGCCTCTTGCCACCTCAGACCCACAGAACGCCCACCCCTTTCTAGGGGGCATCTAGAAGGGGACACTTTCTGTCTCCCAAAGTGTGCGATCCCCTCAGCGAGCCGGGAGGAGGAATTAACCCCGCGGGCTTAGTCAGGGCCGGGGAGCTGACTAGGTATGAAGGAAGGGAAGGCAGGCTCTGGCCGTGGGGGCTCGTTCGTGAGGGGGCCGGCACGACAGGGGCGAGCGGGCGTCTTTGGAAGCGGGCCTTCTCAACAGGAAAAGGGGGCGAGCCCGCTAGCCATATTCAAACCACGACTCTCAGCGCCACCTGTGCGACTCGGGATCCAACCTCCCCGCACCAGCCCCAGTCCAGGTACCTGGAACTTAGTCCGATGGGTAACCGGCGACTACGCGGGGTACAGGTTACCCGAGCGCGCCCCCGACCGACGCACCAACCTGCGCGCGCACCGCGGGCCGGATGCGTGCGCGCCCCCACGACGTCCCGCCCCGCCCCCTCTGCGGCCCAGAAGCCGGGAGGCGTGCGCGTGCCCGCGCGGCGCCTGTCCGTGCGCTCGGGAAGGCGTCCCGGGAGCGCCTGAAAGTTCCGCCTCGAAGGCCTGCTCCTCGAGTGGCGAGCGGCTCAGTGTATCGCGGCGATCTGGAGGGCGCCGTGTCGGGGAGCAGAGGAGGAAGGCGCTTCCTGGGAAGACGAGGGGCAAATAGCGGACGGGGATATGTCGGGCATTCGGGTGGGCGACCCGCGTAGGCGGCGGCGAGGCCCGCGTGCGGGGGGAAGCGGGGCAGGAGCGGCGTCTCGGGTTACGGGGTCGGGCAAAGGGTAAAGGTCAGCGTCCCGCCTGCACCTCTTAGCAATGGCGGCGTCTGGGGAGCCCGGGAGTCAGTGCCAGGAGGAGGCGGCCGCGGTGGTAGTGGTGGGCTCCTGCATGACCGACCTGGTCAGGTTAGTGCGGGGCTGGCGCCCAGGGTCTGCGGCTCGGGGGAGGGGGCGGTAGTGCCCTGAGCACCGCCGATCCGGGGGGAGACTGGTAGCTTGGGTGATGAGCTGGCCTGCCGCCTGCCTCTTTGACAGCCTGAGTTTGTAAAGGTGAATGGGAGGGAAGGGGACGTGGAGGCGAGTCTAGAGAAACAGCTGATGTTTCTGGAAGCACCGCCCAAGACCCGCTCCTGTGGCCTCGGCCAGGCTGCCGGGCCTCTCCCCTCACCGTCCCCGGCTCATTCGGAGGACATGCCCTACTTTGCAGGGTTGTGGGGCTGGAGGGGTGATTGTCCCGGTTTGGGTATCAATGGTCCGAGCATGTGTAAAATAGTGGAACAAGGGTCGGAAAGATGACCGCTCACCTCTGTCCCCATATTGATTGTTGGCATTCCTGCCTTGTGTTATATGGACGCCCTATTTTTCAGTATTACGGCAACGGTGGCTTACCTAATAGCAAGCCCTGTGAGTCCAGATAAAAACCCATCAACACGATTTTCATAACCTTCGGAAAGCTCCGATCAAAGAGTGATAGAACATAATGCTAAATGAAAATAGTTGAGTTAGGTCAGATAGGCGGCAAGATGGTAGGGGGAAAAGAGTCCAAGAAAATCCCACCATTCCAGTAGTTATCACTTTGATACGTTGGTGAATAGCTTTTCATCTCTGCTGCCATTTTAATTGTAAATAAGTGGAGGCCAGTGGTGTGTCACAGCCCATTAAGCCAGCATCCCACATGAGCGTCCAGCTTCCTGCTGTTGCACACAGTAAGACAGAGGACGATAGCCAAACCACACGGCCCTGCCACCTGGAGTCCCTGGCATCTGGCTTCAGTCAGCGTGGCCCAGTGCTGTGGGCTGTTGTGGCCGTTTGGGGAGTGAACCATCAGATGGAAAAATACTTTCACTCAGCTTTTCAAATAAATTTTTAAAAATGATAGTAATAAATTATGAGGTGTACTACAGTAAGAGCTCTTCTCTCTGGAAACTGCTTTGCCAAAGGTTAGAAGAGAACTTAGGGATACATGGTGGGGAGACAGGGAACCAAAATAAATCCCCCAAAGCCCTGCAACACCCACCTGTTTCTGCCCAGAAAACAGTTGTAGGAACTTCATATAAGCAGGTTCCGGTTCCCTTGCTTCAAAACGTTCATAAGCTGTGTTACCAACTTTCCTAACCAAGATTAGAAAGGAAGAGAGACTGCTGGGATCAGCATAGGGGTTGACAGCAGTCTGAGAGTGAACTGGAGAGTGTGATGATGAGCAACAAAACAGTCTCAAGTACCAGTCCCCTTTAGTTTGCCACAAATATTATTTGAGCTGCTACCCTGTGAGACACAGCGCCAAGGCGGGTACACTTCCTTTAGCGACAGCTTGAAGTTCAGTGTGACTGTGGACATTTGGGAAAGAGGCCTGTAGGGCTGTTTTTAGAGCTAGAATCAGCAAACCTATCTCCAAAGGGCTGCTTAGTATTTTAGGTTTTTTAGGCTGTCCATGGTCTACTCACATTTGTTAATAATCTTTTCAAAATGTAAATCATTGTTACCTCCCAAGTCTTATGAAAAATCACCTGTAGGCTATGGTGGCAGCTACCAATCTTAGAGCCCAGTGTAGTAATTCATGGTAGTGGTGACAGAAAAGGTACTGTGGTACTCACTGAGTTTTAGAAAAGAAGAGGGCGTGTGTTTCATAGTTCCATCAAAATACCTTACAGAAGGAATAAACCTTCAGATATGTAAAATAACCAAACTCCCTGGGAATTTACCATTTTTTGGTACTAAATTTGTACCATCCTTTTATACATGAAGGGGCAGAGCATAAAAAAGCTTACCAATTTTCCCATGCGCCCTACCTGAATTAAAGTGTCAGGGTTAAAACTGAGAGCCACTTTCTTGTTGGCAGGCAGAGCCTTCTGTAAGGCTTACCCAGCAGACTCTTGAGAACTAGAGAGTGCTTTCCAAAGGGCCTGCCTGTCCAGTGGTAGGGGAGGAGGGCGGGGTGTGTAACAGGCCTGTATAGCTTCCGTTAGGGTTTTTAAATCATTTCAGAGCTAGAGAAATTTAGAGGTTATTTATCTCAGCCCTTCATTGAGTTTACAGGTAAGCAGGCTGAGGCTCAGAGATGTAGGAACTCTTACGTGTGGATAACCTTTCAAATTTAATTTCTCTTCTTTGCCATTTTCGTTCCTTCAGAAATTATCCAAGTTTCTACTCTTCACATGAATCCCCGATGACTATTTATTTTCTGGTAAACTGCTAATCCCCACAGCTTTTCTACAAACTTTCTGTGCTCTCCTATTACCTTCGGCTCTGAAGATCTTTACAGAATATCTAAGGATAGCATTTATATTTAAAACCTTGCATCTGTGATAACCTTGAGTCCAACTTTTTGCTAGTTGTGCTATATTATCTTAATTGTATTAGCTTGCTTTTGCTGCTTTACAAATTACCACAAATCTGTTGACTTAAGCAACACAAATTTGTTTAGTCCCGGAGGTCAGAAGACTGACAAGTCAGGTTGTCAGGTGTCAGATGGTCTGGGCTCCTTTCTGGAGTCCCCAGGAGAGAATCTGTTTTCTTTCTTCCCTTTTGCAGCTTCTGCACTATAGATTGCCCACATCCCTGTACTTCCATGGGCCTTTCCTTCCTCCATCTTCAAAGCCATCAGTGGTCCTTCAGGTCTCTCAAGTGACGCCACTCTGACTCTTCTGCCTCGTTCCTCCTTGAGAACTCTTTAAGATGATGTTGGACCCAAACAGATAATCTCTTTATTTTGTGATAGCATATTAACAACCTTAATTCTCCCATGCCATGTAACAACATATTCACAGTCCTAGGGAATAGGATACAGATACACTTTCATGTGGGGATGCACTATTCTGCCAACCATAGCGATTAATCTTGAAGTCAAAAAAAATCTGGGAGCACAATTCAGCCTGGCAGGGGAGATAGCCACATCTCACACTAGAGCGCCTCTGTTTGATTCCAGCTTCTGTTCAAGCTCCAGTTTCCTGCTAGTGTGGACCCTAGGAGGCAGTGGTCATAGCTCAAGTAAGTGGATTCCTGTCATTCATGTGGGAGACTTGGGTTGCATTGCTGACTCCTGGCTTTGGCCTCTGCCATTGAAGGCATTTGTAGAAGGAGTTAACCAAGAGTCTCTCTCTCTCTCTCTGTTTCTAAATCTCAGCCTCTCAAATTAAAAAAAAAAAAAAAAAAAAAAAGTGCTACTTAGTGCTTAGAGAACCGTTGAAGCCCATAAGTCCATCCTCACGTTTTATAGGGTGAGGTAACTAAGCTCCAATGACTCACCCAGTCGGCACAGCCAGTTAGTGGCAAGATGAAACCTGGAACCCAGATCTCCCAAACCTTATCGTTCCATTCTATCATTCTACTGCTAATTGGCTCGTATTTATTGCCCTTTTTTATCTGAAGTTCCTATGAGAACTTGGAGTCTATGTGTTCCTTGTTTACCTTATAAACTGATAAGAAATAACTAAGGCTTTGTATTATCAGGTCTAAAGATACCATCCTAATTACTCTTTTTTATATTCCTAGGTTTAACTGTAACCAACCTAGACTCCATGCCTATACTGTAGAATCACTTTAGAAATAAAACCACTTCAGTAACTAAGCCCTTTTGGATGGCATCCAAGTGCAGCTTAGTTTATATATTACATTACTGTAGGCCACACTGCTAATTCAATCAATGAGTAACTTATTTCTAATTTTGGTCCTCTATGAATAGTAAGCCCTATGTAGTAATAATTTTTAAAAATCATTAGCTCATCTGACATGGCAAACACTGGGCATTATTTAATGCCTATCTATATTTTGTCATTATCCTCTTCCTTCTTGAACATTGATCTCTAAAGCCCTGCATTGCAAAGATAAGAGAAAGTGAGCCTGTTTGTATAAAAAAAAAAAAAAAAAAGAGTTCCGGGGTTAACGTCGTGGCACAGTAGGTTAATCCTCCGCCTGCGGCGCCAGCATCCCATATGGGTGCCAGTTCTAGTCACGGCTGCTCCTCTTCCAACCCAGCTTTCTGCTATTGACCGGGAAAGCAGTAGAAGATGGCCCAAGTGCTTGGGCCCTGCACCCACAGGGGAGACCCGGAAGAAGCACCTGGCTCCTGGCTTCAGATCAGCGCAGCTCCGGCCGTTGCAGCCATTTGGGTAGTGGACCAACAGAAGGAAGACCTTTCTCTCTGTCTCTCTCTCTCTCACTGTCTGTAACTCTACCTGTCAAATAAATAAATAAAATCTTTAAAAAAAAAAAAAAAAAAAGAGTTCCTCTGAAGGTTTCCATGAAAACCTAGCACCATATGAACATTTTAGCTATTGGTTCTTAGACTTTGGTTAAGCACACTTTTATCAGTAATCATTTCTTCTGACATTTATCACCCCTCTTTAAAATTATTCATCCAGCTGACTTACTGAGTTTCATGCTAAGTGCTGGGCATGTTATAGGTGCAAAAGAAACAGCAATGACAACAAACATTCCCATCTCACGGAACTTACATTCTTTTTTTTTTTTTTTTTTTTTTTTTTAATTTATTTTTTTTTTTTTGACAGGCAGAGTGGACAGTGAGAGAGAGAGAGAGACAGAGAGAAAGGTCTTCCTTTGCCGTTGGTTCACCCTCCAATGGCCGCCGCGGTTGGCGCGCTGCGGCCGGCGCACCGCGCTGATCCGATGGCAGGAGCCAGGAGCCAGGTGCTTTTCCTGGTCTCCCATGGGGTGCAGGGCCCAAGCACCCGGGCCATCCTCCACTGCACTCCCTGGCCACAGCAGAGGGCTGGCCTGGAAGAGGGGCAACCGGGACAGAATCCGGAGCCCCTACCGGGACTAGAACCCGGTGTGCCGGCGCCGCTAGGCGGAGGATTAGCCTAGTGAGCCGCGGCGCCGGCCGGAACTTACATTCTTGATCACTGTCGATCACATTAACCCAGGTAGGAAATGGTGGTCGCTTGAAA